CGAGGTCTCAGCTGTACACCACACTAGAGAGGTTGTGTTTGTACCAACCCGCCTGCTGCACCAGTAGGACAAGTGCTAAACTCAGCACGGTCTTAGTGGTGTGGAAAGTATTGGCCTTGTTGGACGCGTTAATCACATGAGCAGGTTCTGTTTAAGTCACTAGGATCATTGAGATATGGTGTACGCAGGTTAAGAACTGCATGTCACATGGGTTCAGACCGAGTCTGTATGGCTGGGTCGTCAGTTAAGAACTCCATAATAACTTTAAAATGTTTATATTAAATATATTATGATAATAGTCTCCCTTCTGTTTAGGAAATGTCTGACCTCAATAAATACAGCCCTCCTCCTCAGTCTCCAGAGTTGTATGTGGCAGCTAGTAAGCACTTTCAGCAAGCGAAAATGATCCTCGAAAACATCCCCAACCCAGACCGTGAGGTAAGAGTGGGTTCACTGTACTTCTAGGGGACACGCTTGACAGACAGCACATCCTGCCTGCCTGTGGCTGGTCATTATAGTGAGTCAGTTGGAGAGCACTGTCAAATGGAGCCTGTCTTGTTTTTGTAAGAATTTCAGGCAAGTTTGCCAACTTAACCATTTTTAAGTCTCTTGTCTCCGCCCGATAGGGTCTCACTCTATAGTCCAGGCTGCTCTCTTAATTCCCAGTAATCCTCTTGCCTCTCCCTCTCTAGTGTTAGGATTATTAGGTCATGATCTACCATACCCAGCTTCCATTATAAGTATTAAATATGAAAAACTATGTAGCCAGTTACTATAGAACATTATTCCATACTTGACCATTTACATAAAAGACTGTTGCATTAAAAGACTGATGTACCAGAGTAAACTTTGAAAGGGAACATGGTTTAGGCTTTTGATGATTTAATAGTTTGCACTGTCCCCCAGCACCTCTCTGTTAGCACAGGAGTTACTCTTGTCATGTTGGTCACGGGGGGAACACTTAATACAGCTCAGTGCAGGGTGACTTAGCATTATCTGTCAGAAACGACCAGTACTGGGCTCAGAGATGGAGTGTGCTTGCCTGTCGCACAAAGCCTGGGGTCTATCCCTAACTCTGCAAATAAATTAATAGAGGGGAAAACCACTTTTCAGATATGTGCACATCCAGAAAGAGTAATGAATACAGGTGAGTTTCAGCATAGCAGGTTTTTAATTGCAAACAGTATAACTGTGATCCAGTCATTCACAAGGTCAAGGAGATTAAGATAGCAAGAGTTAAAACTGTAGTAGTACACTACCATTTCATTGAAAGTTGACAGAAAAGACTGTGTATTATGTGAACAAGTCACTTCTGTTAAAAGCGAATTGTTGATAGTGCCTTAGCCTCTGAGAGGAACATTGAATGCCTTGGAGAAGAGAGCAGGAAGGAAATGTAAAAATTGTATTCTAGTTGGATGTGATGGCAGAGGCAGAAGGATCTCTGAGTTCAAAGCCAGCTAGGGCTACATAGTGAGACCCTGTCTCAAAAAGAAAAAAATGTATATACTCTAGCTAATAAAAATGGTAATTATAAAAATTTGAGAGTGAGGTTCAATAATAGAAGACATATTTCATTTAGCAGAAATTTTACTCATTTATTCAAAGATTTGTCAAGTATCTACTATTCCCAGAGGAAAACAGCTGTTATGGGTCAGGAAAAGGGTCATATTATGTATTGTACAGAGTGTAGAACTTTGAAGAAATACTGCAGTCACGGGGTAGGAAGGGAACCCTGCTTTTCTTCTGCTTGGTATTAAACCCAGGGTATTGAGCACTCTGTGCAAACGCTTCTACCGCTGAAGTGCATCTCTAACTTTAAGCATTTTAAATAACCCATTTTAGTAAATTCTAGAAGGGGAAGCAAGACACTGGATGTCAAGGGTGGACACTTCCAGACAGGGGACCCAGATGCAGAACATTGCAGAACAGACCTGTTCCTGGAGTGTTTGAACAGCAGCCAGGGACCTTGTGGCTGGAGTTGGGAGAAACAAGGTAGTATTGGAGTGTGAGCAGAGGATAGGTAGATCTGACTTGTGATAAGGGAATATTCTGGGAACATTCTGGGACTCTGCTGCAAATTGACACATGCTACAAAGGTGGAAGTCAGGGCAGCAGTAGTCCAGGTGAGAGGTGGTATGGGTAATCAACAGTGATACATTCTCGTTGGATTTAAAGTCTGGGTCAATTCATGGGTTAGATGTGGAATATGACTTGAAAGATTTTGGCCTGAGCAGCTGAATGAATTGATTTGCATGATGGCAACAATGCTGTGGCATGGACCAGTGTAGTTTCAGACATGTCAAATTATTACCAATTTATTATTTTTTTTTTGAGACAAAGTCTCATGTAGCTCAGACTGGCCTGGAACTACCTGGGCTTACCTCACACCCATGGGAGGCCTCTTACTCAGTCTCAGAGGCTGAGATTACAGGTCTGAACTTCTGTGTCTACCTTTCCATTAGATGTTTAAATGGAGCTGCTCTCTCAAGGCAGGTGGATATCTGCTTTGGGATTGAAGAACCCATCCTGTCCTTTTGTATTTCCAGACAGTGGTCAATAACGCAGCAGTGGGAACTTGGGGGTTACGAGAAATCTAGCAATTGTCGTTATTATGATTCATGTATTTCAGTGAAACTGTTTAGACTGTTAGTTCTCAGAAGTAAAAGTTAATGCTCCAAGAACACTCACTACTTTCCAGGAGTATTTCTAAGCTTTAAATACAGCCAGGTACTAGAAGTGTAGAGCTACGCTGTGTGCAACCACAGTTGTATGTGCAGCATGAAATGTACGTTAACTCGGTCTTCAAAGCAGTTTTTATGCGGTGGGCCAGATCTTCACCTTCATTTCTATGAGGATGACCATGAACAACTCACTGATGAGAGAAGGTTGGTATCAGTGGTGAAGCTGGGGTGTTGCTCCATGTTCTGAACAGCAGCTAGTTCTCTGGAGCATGCCGTGTCTGGAGCTCATGATTGGTGGTTGGGAGGTGTGTTTAAAGAAGTGCAGTGTCTGGAGTGCCTGCAGCACAGGTCAGCACCTCCCGGCTCCTGTTCTTGATGTGATGCTGAGTGTCTTGTTCTAGGTCAGTAGAATCCTAAAGGTCGCCAAGCCCAACTTTGTGGTCATGAAGCTTTTAGCAGGAGGACACAAAAAAGAGTCAAAGGTGAGTACAAAGTTCCCTGTGCTCTATTATAGAAAAGGTTCCACCATTGTGTAGAGTCACCCGAGAAGAGGTAGGGCTCAGCTGCCAAGAAGTGAAGCTTGCTCACCGTTTTTCTTCCAAACATTCTGAGACTTAGAACTTACACTCGTCTTTTCTCCTGCTCCCATATGGATCATTGGCTAACAGGGCAGTTAAGAAAGTACGGGCCAGAGTGTCCAGAGCTCAGAAATAGGAGCTGGCAAAGTGGTCCAGGCTGACCTGAGTTTACTAACTGGAACCTACACTGGGGAAGGAAAGACCCAACCCGCTACACACTCACACTCACCATGGCAACATGCTCTCACCCTCATACAAGATAAATGGAATAAATTTTTTTGGTTTTGTTTTGTTTTTTTTCAAGACAGGGTTTCTCTGTGTAGTTTTGGACCCTGTCCTGGATCTCACTCTGTAGACCAGTCTGGCCTCAAACTCACAGAGATCCTCCTGCCTCTGCCTCCTGAGTGCTGAGATTTAAAGAGGTGTGTCACCACCGCCTGGCTGGAATAAAATTTTAAAGAAAATGTGTAAAACGTATTTTGGGGAGAAGTACAAAGTATCTTAATATCACCTGCTTTAGGAAAGTAGATGGTTCAGTAGTTAGCTATATGTACAGGTATGCATGCATATAAGCAGTGGCCATTTCACTTAGCAAGCCCCAAGGTGGAGCTGCCTCCACCTCCCCAGCACTAGAATTTTAGGTGTGTGCTATCATGCCCAGCCTGGAAATCAAACCTCAGGTTCTCATACCTGCACAGCAAACACTGTACCAACTGAGCCATTTCTCCAGCCCCAAAACTGTTTTTTAACACAGATAAGATGTGGTGTTAATGTGGAAGATCTACCTTGTCACAGGTCAGCTTCTGATGCAACCTTGTGGCAGTTGCCTGGTGTGTATGGCTTTGCTTTTTCACTTGTTACCCTAAAGTTGAACTGTATTGTCGTCCTGATGGGGCTGAATGCTTTGTCTCGAAGTGAAGTCCAACTTCCTTTAACTTTCTCTGAAGATAAGAAACAGATGTTCGGGATGTTTTCTGATGACCTTCATGAAGGAGAAAGGCTTCCTCATTTCTTTTCCTGTTTGACTTTTCCCATTAGGCCAGTCTCTCCTGTACAGCCCTGTTTCTGGGACACGTGACAGAGGGGAAAGTGGCCACTGTACATTACCCGAGCACTCACAGATGTATTCATCAGCTTTCTGGCTTTCTTCATAGGTTCCTCCTGAATTTGATTTCTCTGTTCACAAATACTTTCCTGTTGTGAAACTCGTGTGAAAGAGACTGCAAAGATGGACCATGTCTGCTCTAAGTGATACAACATTCTGCCACATACAGTGACGTAAAGTGGATTTCTTGGATGACAGCCTGTTATAAGGAAGATTTTTCAGTTTAACACCCTTACCTGGCGGGAATGAAAACTGCTGTTTTAAAGTGGTTTATTATACTCCATGGGTGTAACTGGGCTGGAATGCATTAGTGATGTTACGTGGTTTTATTACAGACTTAATTGTAAAACATTTTTTTAATGAATGATTGAGTGATATAGTGTTTCTAAAGGTTAATAAATTTCTTGACAAAAAATGCACTGGTACTTTGCTAAGAACTGTGGTCTGAGCATCACCATCGAGCAGTGCCAGAATTATCCAAGCTGGCTGTGGCACGGTAAGCCTAATCCCAGCACCTTGGCAGAGGCCCCAGGACCAGGCTTCAGTTACCCTCAGCTGTGTACTATGTTTGAGGCCAGCCTGGGCTACATGAGAACCTATCTTAAAACACCAAACAAACCCAAAAACTGATTAAAAGAAGTTTCAAAACATGAGTTTATTAAGCATTTAGATTCTGGTGAAATTTGAAATGGATTTTGAGGGAGACGATCTCTAAAGTACATGAGGATTGTCTGTGTTGTGACACACATTTGTAAGGATCTGCAGTCATGCAGTTTAAGAACCATGTCACACTGCAGTGTCTGCTGCTGGCCGCAGCAGGTGAGGTGTGCACACTGCTGAGCTTTGGGTCTGTTTGAACGTGGTACATGCCTTTGCTCCAGTTGAACCTTTGAAGTGGATTGAGATGCAGGGTTTCTTCTCAGTCCACCAGCCAGAGCCCATCCTTGTTTTGCTGCCCATTCCTCTGCACTGGTGTGTGTTACGACAACTGTCTAGGCCTACATGGCTTCCCTTTTGTCCTCTGTAGGGGCAGTGCTTTTAGCACAATGAGCTACCCAGAAGTTTAACCTGGTTTTGTGGGTTGGCCTAAGACCATTGGCAGTTCATTTGCCTTATGGTAAAAATGATCCTGAGAGTTCAGTGTCCTAACTCTAATTTAACACTTTCGGTGGTGCTGAGAGTGCAGCCCAGGGCCTCACACATACTAGGCAGATCCTCTCAGGAGCTGTGCCCCAGCCCTTGTCAGGACACCTTGCTTGTATCAGAACATTTCCTAGAAATATTTTGAAACATGCCTGAGTGAACTTGCAATGCTAGCAAAGACGGAGGTAAAGAGGTTGCTGACTTCCTTGTCAGTACTGAGGTGGTCTGGCTCAGCTGTCAAACACAGACACTGGCAGCCTGGAATTTTAGAACCCAGAGGCCAGAGTGTTCTCCTCGCCTCTTTTACTTGTTGAAAGGAAATCAGCATGGCTTGTCGGCAATGTCTACACTTTAAACCAGAACCAAAGCTAAGACAGGAAATTGTCACTAGAAAATGCAAAGTCCCCTTGAGCATGGAACCTTGGAGTAGAGCATAGAGCGACTGTGTAGTAAAGACATTGCAGCTGAGGACCTTGTGAGTAACAAGTGTCCATCCACACGCAGGGTTGTGTGTCAGATTTGGGGGAATGAGCACCAAATCTGGTGGTTTGGGCAGTGAGAGACAACCCACATCTGCCACAGGTGATCAAATGTATGTTTTTAAGGAGAATGGGAGGACAGGAATACTGGGCCACCTGGGCAGCCACTCACACTACCGGAATCTTTCAGCCAGCCCCAGAAAGCACCAGGAGTTTTCCAGTGGCCTCCAGTGGTGCTGCTCTCCAGTTCACCAGCACTGTCTGTCGGCTTGAGTCAGACACAGCACAGGCTAACGCCGTTACCATTGGTGAACCACATTAACCTGTGGGGTTTTCAGACAGTACACAGGCTACGGGGAAAACAAAACACACAGCTGGTGTGTCTCTCTTGCCTTTGTAGCCGTCCCCAGCTTGTGACCTGGGTACCCCCAGCAGCCAGCCCTTCTCCTGGGCTATCATAGCAACACAGGTACAAACCTCGGGGCCTCTGTCCTTGCAGAGCTCCGCATCCTGTCTGCTCTGGCTGCCCAATCCAGCCACTGCCTTTCCTGGTGAGGTGCAGTGGCTTACTAGAGATTTCCCTTTGCCCACTCTAACGAAAACCAAGGGAGAGACCATAGGTGCTCATATTGAGTAACTTAATAGTGTTCTGTATATCAAAACAATAACAAAAGTTATTTAAACCAGTAGTCTTTAAAAAAAAAAAGATAGAAAAAAAATCCTCCCCCAACAATTGGCATTTTGAGACAGGGTCTTACTTTCTTGCTCCGTCTGACCTGGAATTCACTATGTAGCTCAGGCTGGCCCAGAACCTATAGCAGTCTTCCTGCCTCAGCCTTCTGGGTCCTAGAGTTATCCAGGTTTAGTGGCTGTCTTTTAATTTAACAGAACTATGTTGTATTGAGACTTGTCTAAACTGACTAGTGGTGTTGCCCTAGGCTGTTGATGGTGGAATCAGTGTGTGCAGGAGAGATGAGCCGCTCTCCACCAGTAACAGAAACTGGCAGCAGCGGCACAAGAAGGGGGGCAGGGCGGTCGTTGGCTGGCAGCTGCCCTCCTGCAGGCTGCTCTGTCCACAGACACTGTAGAATGATGAGGTTCTGCTCCCCATGGAGGACACCCTCATTTCTCTTCTTGGTGTTGCCTGACTTGCTCAAGAACTAACCTGTTAAGAAAGCTGACCAATTTTGACACATCCTTTGTAGACACTTTGAAAGTACCCCCAAACTGTCTGAGACAGTCCCATTTTTCTTTGCTAAAATGTACTGATTAAACCTCACAATAATCATCAGCCGATGCACAGTTTACTTGGTACATTTCACAGTTGAGTACTCAGTCACTGGTGAGTCTTTGCAGGATCTCTGTTCAGGCCTGTTGAGGAATACGGACTCCTACTTGATTTAGGATGAGATTCTGTTTTTCACTCCCATTGGGTAAATCTATTGGGCCCCTCTTCTGATCTTCAACATTAAAAACTAAAAATGAAAAACAATATTCCAATATTAAGCACTTTGGGAAAACAGCTTGGGCAAGATGTCAGTTTCTAGAATTTTCATAAAGAGAATTCACATCCATTAATACTGTAGTTTAGAATTGTGTTCCCATCAAGAGAGCAAAAGAAACGGTATGTGCAGCTAACAGCGTGCCACGAAACAAAGCTGAAAGCCCTGAAAACGCCACCATTGTTGAGTGGTGAAGTAGTACAGCCCCTGTGCTGTATGACCTTCTCCAAAGGGTAGCAATAACAGCACACACTCCTTCCCAGAGCCACCTGCCTGCAGCTTCTGGTGAATCTGCTACACCGAAGCTCACTCTAAGAGCTGAAGTCTAGGCTTCCATCCTGGGTATTGACTGTACTTTGTCAACCGTCATGTTTAATCCGTGCAGTGTTGAGACTAGAGTTGAAGCTAATGCCTTTTTCACCTTATCTCCCCGGGGCAAGCAAGGTCTTAAGCTGTTCACTTTATCCTTTTGCTCTGCACTTCACTCTGCTGAGAGCCTTGCACAAGATCAGAGTGCTCCAAACACACAGAGTAGAGGACTAAACATCACAGGTTTTCACTGCAGAGCCAAACATCTAGCAGGATACTCAAATGCAGTGCTGCTAACAGAAGACATAATTCAGTGCAGTCAGTATGTATACAAAAGATGGAGATGCCTAGAATTTGCTTAGCATTTCTCCTGCTAATACATTATTCCTATGCCTCAAAAATCATTACCTATATAGTACATTAATATAATTTAAAAATCAAACTGGGGCTTCTTTTTCTAGAAATTTCATGTAACTACCTTGTTGAAACAAGTGACATGCTGGATAAACACTGTAGAATCAGACATCCAGATTGAAGGACTTGTCTCCCAGATTAGTCCAGTACACTTGGAAAAACGATGATCCAAGAGTATTCGAGTGAGATGGGCATGGTGGCACACACCTTTAATCCCAGCACTCACTTGGGAGGCAGAGGCAGAGGCAATCTCCGAGTTGAGGCTAGCCTGGTCTACAGAGTGAATTCCAGTACACCCAGGGCTATACACAGAAACCTTATCTTGAAAAAACGAAACAGTACTTGAGTGATAAATAAGTTATAGACATAAAACAGGCAGGACATTAATTGTGGAGCATGTATGAGCCTAGATGACAAAAAGGACATCAGTTGGACAGACACTATATTTGAACAAATCTGTGTATTAGATAGTATGCTATATCAACATTTCTTCATGTGCACAATTGGACTATGATTACTTAAGAGTTTACATTTGGGGAATATGGAGAGAAGATACATCCTTTTTGCTACTTTTTTTAAGATTTAATAAAGATTTTATTTGTAATTACATGCCTGTGTAGATAGGTGTATATAAATACAGGGCCCTTGGAAGCCAGAGGAAAAAACCCTGGAGCTGGAGTTACAGGTGGTTGTCAGCCACCTTATGTGAATACTGGGAATTGAACTTGGGTCTTTTGAATACTGAGCCATCTCTACAGTATTGAATTTAAAAAAAAAAAAAAAAAAAAAAAAAACCATCAAACATCAAGAATTGCTCACACGGTAATAAAAGAAGGCATCTTTGAGTCCAAAAGTGAGATGGGAGTAATATAATCAGGTAATAATTAAGAAGCAAGCTGGCCAGAGGATTTCTGATGAAGCCTAAAGATCCTGGACTTCTCCCTCCATTTCCAAAGGTGTGAACTAAGCCTGAAACCTTAAATCTCCAGATCCCACATGATGGAAGAAGAAAACTGACTCTTACAAGTTGTCCTTTGACCTCCATACATGCACAAGGACATACATGTGCTTACACAAATAAGTGTGATTTAAAAGGCCAAAAACACTACAAAAAATACCTCAGGTTCTACCCAGGGAGTCAAGCACGTAAAACTGAAATCTAAAGCTCCTGTTCCTGGTTCAAAGATTATCAGGGATAAACTTTAGTGCAAGTGGGACAGCAAGATGGTACAGAGAGCATCTAGCCACGGGACGCTCCACACTTACAATTCAGTGTTTTATGTTATCAAAAGAACTGAAGACTGCTTCAAGGAGTTAGGCACTGTGTAGCTCCTACATTTCACCTGGAAGACTACTCAGGGGGTGGCCTATACTCCCTCACATGCCCCATGGCTAAGGTTCAAGAAAACTAGTGCTCAGAGCTGCAGCATATAAGATGCAAAGAATCTAGGAACTACAGAAAACTGCTGGAATAAAGAATAGATGGCATAAAATCTGCAAATAAAAATGTAAACTGAGTGAATACTGAATATGCTATTTGCAGCCCAGAAAGGCAAAGATAGAAAATACTTTGTAGAGCCAGAGCAGAGTGCTGCTGATCTGTGCTCAAGGAGTCAGAAGCGACAGGAGCCTTGTCAGATACATGCTTCATCAGCTTCTCTAGAGGGCTAGTCACAGCAGAAAACTGGTTCAGAGGTGGTCAACAGAGAGTCTAATGATGGGGCCAAAACCAGGTGTGCTCCGGGGTGCCCTAGCCATCTTGTTGGAAAAGCCCTAAATCACTAAAAGCAAACCCTCTGATTTCTGGGGCATCTCTGCTCTCACCCTGCTCCACTGCCCCACTTACCAGGACTCTAAAGAAAAGTCTCTCCATACATGATGGTATACACTTTTAATTCCAGCACTCAAGAGGCAGAGGCAGATGGATCTCTGTGAGTTTGAGGCTAGCCTGGTCTACACAGTTCCAGGACCACCAAGGCTGTTACACAGAGAAACCCTGTTTCAAAAAACAAAAGGGGGAAAAAAAGTCTCCCTGAACTGACCACTAGGTGTTATTATCAATAATATTAAAGAAAAGAAAATGATGGAAGGTGGCCACTTCCATACACCACCGTTCTTACCATTTATATCTCTGTCGTTCCCTGCAAGGACTGCCTGCTTGTCTCTCTCAGACTCTGCTTCATTTTCATCCATGTTGTATTCATCTCCCTGGTTCCTCCCTGTAAAAACCATTTCATTCTTGACATCATTGGAATACCAGCACCAGTACAGGCTGTTATCAGACCCGTACCTCAGAAAACAGCCCAACTCATGAACCTCTTCCCAGTACTAATGCCATGGAGAGTACTCAGAAACAGGCCCCTTCAACACTGAGTCTAGAAAATTCAACTCTGGTGACTGAACCCTAGCACACAAAAAGGGAGGGGGGGCTTCATCCTAACACAAAAACTGGGGGGAGGAATCCTAAGTTAAGTCATGATTCAGTCAAAAAACTGAGAAAAGAAATGGCAATCAACAAAAGTAAGGAAAAGCAACCACTGTCTGGGGAAATAATAGGTTAACAATGGGAAATGACAGTGCCTTCTCAGAACGACTCCAAGAACGGGAAGGAGTGAGTACCATGAGCCTACATTTCATGTACAGGACTAGACTGTCCACGACCATGTGCCCTGGAAAAAGCACAGAATGCAGACTAGAGATAACAGGAGTCTCCCTGGTATCTGAAATGTGTACATGGGGAGGCACAGGAGACCGTTCTTAAAAGGAATGCCTAGGAGATCTCTGCTCTGCTTTCTCTCTGCTGGAGCAGCAGCACAGAGCATTTATCCTCCAAATGAGATCCCTACTGCTGCACGTGGAAGCAGCTGCAGCACACAGGCCTGGTCGCTCATGTCCACCTTCACCTGTTACACTTCAGGTCCAGTAGTCGGACACTTGAGTGCCACCAGAATGGGGTGTCTCCCTCCCCTCATGAGCACCTTCTTGCTATAGTTATGGGGCAGGGCTCTGAACAGTGACACTCAGCAGGAGGCTGGTAAAATGCACCCTTAACCAGAACAACAGGACACATCATTCCGAAGGAAAGACTGAAAGAATTAGACACATTTCCTCAGGTCTGTTATTTGGTCCACTCAGGAGTGCAGGTGTCATCATGAGTGCTCCTGGCGCCCAGGAATGGCAAGTTTCCACATCTCTAAGGCAACAGAACACACACAGGAGACCACTATTTAGAGAAGGAAGGAAAGGTGCGAGTCACCTGTCAGTTCCTCAGATGCACCAACATCCCTCATTCCTTCTTCAGTCACTCACCAGACACCATCAGTACGTCAACACATAAGCAGGTAGAGACAGACAGGTGGCCTACCTGCCAGGAGGTGACATTTTATCTGCCAAGCACCCGTCTCAAGGTGTCATACATCCTCAGAGTCCCACTGACATTAATAGTTTCTGAAGATTAAAACATTAGGTTTTTGTACTACCCTTCCTGTTTCCCTCTTGAAAATGGACAAGAAACACAAAAAAGAATAAAGGTATCATGAAGGCCATTTGGTGGAATTCAAGGGGATGTGTCCAATGCTGAGAAAATGGAGAAATCCAAGTGCCTGGCAAGAAGCCTCGGAACCCCAGGGCCACCCACCTTCCTCAGCTGCATGCTGCTTCTCCTGCTCATCTTGGATGACAAGCTGGTCCCGGTCAGGGTACTGAGAATCCTCAGGCCTGGCCAACAGGGCAGCTGGCCCTTGTGTCATGTGAGGTTTCCCAGCTCCTCCAAGTGTGCCATCCATGGGGGCCTGTTCTTGGACTGATGCCTTCGGCGGTCCCAGGCCATGCTCCTCACTGACAACCTGAATCTCGTTGGTTTCCTCTGCACAGAACATAGGATTGCAAGAGCATTCTTTGTTTTTGTTGTTTTGTTTTGGTTTTTGTTGTTTTGAGACAGGGTTTCTCTGGGTAGCCCTGGCTGTCTGAGAACTTTGTACACCAGGCTGGCCTTGAACTCAAAGATCCTCCTGTCACTGAGAGCCTTTAGAGTGCTAGGATCAAAGGCATGCGCCACCACACCTGAGACTGGGTGTGGAGCACACACCTTTCATCCTGTCACTCCAGAGGTAGAGACAGGAAGATAAGGAGATCAAAAGCCAGCTGTGGGTCTCAGACCCTTTGGCAAACCTCTATCTCCAAAACTATTTATGATTTATAACAGTAACAAAATTACAGTTATGAAGATATTTTATGGTTGGAGGTCATCACAACATGAACCATATTAAAAGGTCGCAGCATTAGGAATGTTGGGCTACGTAGTCAGTTTGAGGCCAGCCTGGGATACTCTGCCTCAGACAAACACAAGAAAAAAATGGTAACATTAACTACAAAGAATGCCTGCAGCACACTTGTAGTCCCAGGACATGGGAGATGAAGGCAGTAAAGTCAAGTCAAGGTGTTGGCTACATGCTGAGTTTTAGGCCAGCCCGGGCTGCACAAGAACTTATCTCAAAAAAACAAAACAAAAGCAAAAGACAAAGAAGTGTCAGCACTTAATTCCTAGTGTTGCCCGAAGGAATGGCTACTGGGTGAGCTGCACACTTCCGGGTGGCTACAGGGAGCCTGGTCTCTGACCTCCGCCCCAGACCACAGGCTTCTGTGCTGCAGCTCATCTTCAGATGGAGTAACAGAAAAGTTCAGGGCACGGTGGTGCACACCTTTAATCCAAGCACCCAGCAGAGGCCCTTGGATTTCTGTGAGTTCGAGGCCAGCCTGGTGTTCATAGCAAGTTCCAGGACAGCCAGATCTACATAAATAGTCTCTCAAAGCAAAAACAAAACAAAACCCAAGAAACAAACAAAAATCAGAAAATAACATGGATTCAGGTGCCCTGACACTCTGAGGGCAGAGTGCTAGGCTCTCATGGTCATGTGTAGGACAAGCCATGGGAGCCCAGGCACAGCAGCCACCCAGGGCTCAGTCTCTGCCCTTAACTCCCACAATCCTCTGGTACCCTGAGTTAAAGTAATCTCTGTACCTGTACTTAGAGAGCTGCCACAGAACTCAGCCCCAAGCAGACAAGGACAGAGTGTTAGTAAGACAGAGTAGAAGGCTGTGTCCCCTATCCAGGACCCTAGAGAAAGCACCACCAGCCAGCCACACTGCCCATTCTCTGCTGCCTCAAGCCACACTCTGCCCTCTGTGTCTACCACCCGCCCAAACCATACACTGCTGCTTGGATATGGAGGACATAAGCCAATGGCTGCCTCCACTTACCATTCTGCTGGTGTGGTTTCAAACCCCGCACCTCTGAACTGGGAGCTGGTGTCTGGGACTTGTTTCTGGGCACAGCCTCTTTCCCTTGTGGCATCTGTTCCTTTGGTGGGACTACTTCCGAAAGCTTGGGCTGAGGCTTGAGGGCCTGGAATTGAAATAAGCACAGGACTACAAGAGTAGATCATGGGACCCTCATTGCATCCACCAGCAAGTGAACCCCTAAACTCACACACCACCATCTACCCTGTTACATGGCATAGATTGGTAGACCGTGGTTAAGTCCAGGTCCTCCAGAAAATACACTCAAGGTAGAAAATAAGGGAAAATGTAACCATTCCAATAAACCAAGTTACTGACCAACTATCTACAGCACTCAACCTGGTACTTAGGCCATGCCCACCTGCCAGGCACGTGGACATAACATGACAGACATGCCCACACTGTCTGCCTGGCATGGCTGACATCAGACTTGGTCTCCCATCGTATGACATGGAACTTGAGAGAGTCACAAATACATGGAAATTAACACTTCCAGATGACCAAAAAGATGCCCAGTCCCTCTGGTGAGTCAGCAGCTAACTGAGGTGAAGGAAGGGGACTGTGCAACTTCAGCACCTGTCTGCCATCTGTCCCACCTAATGGGGACACTGAGAAGCAGGACATAATCCAAAACACAGGCTCAATACCTACGTCTAGCACCAGAGAATGTATGTCTCCCCTCCTTCACATCTTACGGCGGGTGGTAGACAGCCTATTTAAAACAGACCAATTTACCCAGAATATCCTGTCCCATAGCCAAGTAAAAAATTAGAAGGCATCCTGTGAGGCAAAGCAATCTGGAGACAGGGAGGAACATCAGAACCAGCCACACAGTGATACCTGACTTAGCGGGCCATGGATCTAGAGCAAACGTGGCTGGTGTGCAGAAAGCCCCAGTGAGTTACGTCGACAAGGAGGGAGAGATGGAAACTTTAAGGAAACAAAAAGGGAAAACTGAGACAGAAACGCTGTACGTGAATGAAGTTTTCAGTGGGCTCATGTGGGGACTAGCTATGGCCAAGGGATAATTTCCCAAACAGAAACCAATGGAAGTGAAAAACAGTGAGAACAAAGTCTGAAAACAATGAAACAAAATTCCAAAGACTGTGGGACAACTACAGATAAGATCCCTCCTACTCAGGGTAGGATGGCGGAGACAACTTCTGGATGTCACACATATGCAATGATCAGACCTGGATAAGACAAACATCTAGATAATCAAGACTTAAGAATTCCTCCAAATTCATGTCAAACACCAAACCATAGACTGAGGAACTTTGGGGAACACCAAACAGGATATACTAAATACTAAGAAAGTGTGTCATTTCAAACTACAGGGAAATTAAAATTCTGAGAAGAAGCCAAGAAAAAACATCCACTCACAAGGGACATTCACCAAGACACCACGTTCTAGGTTAAAACTACATCTGTGGCTATGTATTGTGTCGCCCAATAAAATTTACCTGAGGATCAGAGGACAAAGCCAGCCACTATATTAACATAGAAGTCAGGCAATGGTAGCACACACTTTTAATTCTATCACTTGGGAGGCAGGGATCTGTCTGGATCTCTGTGAGTTCAAGGCCACACTGGGAACAGAGCTAGCATGGGAACAGAGCTAGCATGGTATACACGCCTTTAATCCCAGCACTAACCATAGAGGTCTGGAGGTCTGTACAGACAGGAAGTGACAGAGCTGAGCAGTAAGAGGAAGTGATGTAGCTGGGCTGAGAGAGCAAATGAGAGAACAGAACACAAAGGCATATAGGTGTGGGTAGACAGGAAGTAGCTCGCTTTGGAAGTTGCGGAGTTGGTGAGGTGAGGTTAGCTGTGGCTTTTCCTAATTCCCTGATCTCTCTCAGGCTTTAACCCCAATTTCTGGCTCTGAGTTTTTTATTAATAAGACCATTTAGCAATTCATTTACATATATTGTAGTAAATTTAAACTAGGAACCACGTCATGGCTACTCTTCTATTACAGAAGAATCAAACAAGGAATCAGGAGTAGAAAGATAGCTAGAAAATCCCTAAATGGATGGAGATTAAGGCACATGCTTTTAAATAATGTTCAGACTAAAGTAAAAGTCTTAAATTTAATTTTGGTCACACCTTTAATCTCCGAATTTTGGGAGGCAGAGGTAGGTGGATCTCTGTGAGTCAGAGGCCAGCCTAGACTACATAGTGAGTTCCAGGACAGCCAAGGTTATACAGTGAGACCCTGTCTCAAACAAAAACAAAAACAAACAAACAAACAAAATAAATAAATAAATAAAAATATTTTGATCTAAATGAGAACAGTTTGCTGGAATTTATAGGATGCAGTAAAAGCAATGCTTTTTTAAAAAGATATTTTGTAGCATTGGATGCATACATGAGAAGGGAAGATCTGTATCCAAGAATCAAGATTGTACCTTAAGAAGCCATGAAACAAATTAGCAAATTAAATCCAAATTAGAAGAAAACATACATGAATTAGCTCATAAATTAATTAAAATGAAAAAAAATCAGTGAAAAAGAACGCCCATCCTGTGAAAAGATAATGCTCTGAGACCAGAGCGCATGAGAGAATATTACTGTGGGCCCTACCACTGAGCAGGCTGGCCCTGGCCACAGTACTTCACATCTTGGCCTCAACGTCCTCAAACAGCCAAACAGCATCGGCTTCTTCCACAGAGCTGGGATGTTAAAGGTGAGGGCTCTGAGCTTGGGGGCCAGCACACACCATTGGTCTGGGTATCCTGGCACCAGGCTTTGCTCCATTGTACCACAGAGAACCACACTCATGGGGAGAACAGAGACACAGGCCAGCAGAACTAAAGCTGAGTAGAGGAGGCGTACCTCCTGGACACCCAGGCCAGAACAGACCCAAATTACCTGCTGAGGCTGGCCGTTTCTTTCACCCACACCTCTGGAAACTGCTGCTTCATTTCTCCTCCTGGTGACTTCTTCTATCCGTTCCTCACACTGTTCCTTCACCTCTTTCATCTGGTTAATACACTGGCTCCTAGTGAAGGAGGCAAATGGATGGATGTGTGGATGTCCTGAGTGCTCCCTGCTGGACCCCACACCCACAGTCCAGGCAGCAGGAGACAGAACAGCCCTTTCCTACTCCAGACACGATCTGAAATGGGAACTTGCAAGTATTAGATGACAGGGAAGAAACTTGCAGGTAACCACATTCTAGATTTGTTACATTGCTTTAAACACACCACATGTGCGTGCGCGTGCGCATGCGCACACATACACACACACACACACACACACACACTTAAAAAACACTGGCTACTGGTACAAGTGCCTAAAACCCTGTGATTTCCTGGTACTGGGACCATCTTCTTCATCTGTGAGCTCCGTGGGCCAGACTTGTGGTTATGTTGATAAGATGATTCATGGGGAGTGCATGCTGGGCATTTCAGGATAGGGGTTAAAATACTCAGCTACACCTCATACTAGGAAGTGAAGGGGACTGGAGGGTTCAATCATGTGGACAAATGATGTCATCATTCATGCCTACATAACAAACCCAACTACCACCTCTAGACCTGGAGGTTTCATAGCTTCTGGGCTGGTAACAATACAGATGTACCAGAAGGGTTGGGCCCGGACTCCATGGAAGACATAAGCCCCCCATTCCCAGCCCTTGACTTGTAACTACCATTTGTGGCTGTTCACCTGTCACACCCTTTGTAATAAAACCCCAGTAGTGAGTAAAGCTGTCCTCAGTTCTGTGAGCTGTTCTGGGAAATTATCAAGGAGTATATCAGGTATCCCTGAACTGGTAAACCATCCCGTGGGGGATACCAGTTCTTGTGACTGGCCTATAGAGCAGTCTTAGGAGCTTGAGTTCTTCAACCCGTGGGGTGTGGATCGACTCTGCTGGAGGACATCTAGCTCTGAGATGCCCTGGAGGCCGAGCCTTCCACCAGGAATTGAAGAGGATGTCACAAGGGCAGAACAGAGCTGAAACCACTTGCTTAGCAAATGGGGAAGCTAAGAGATGGTCCATTGCCTGCGATAGCCAGAGCTAAGAGACAGTCAAGTTCCCAGAAGACTGCAATGCTCTTTCTGTGCGGCTTCTCCTGAGTTGGAAGCATTTTGGAGCCTAAGACCCCAGCTTGGAGCATATCCTTTGGCAGTTCAAAGCATCATTGAATCACAACATGCCATACACAGAAGGGAACTGGGTGATAACGGGAACCTCAGACAGATGAGAAATAACAAAAACGTCACTGAAAAGCTTCCTACAGTCAGTCAAGCCACAGGCAGTAGACTAGCAAAAAGTGGCTGTAACACAGTGAATAAAGAAACTTAGCTGACTAAGGAGTGAAGAGGGAGGCCATCTTCTACTCCTGAACTTTTACACCTGCAAAGGAGAACCAGCTTAACCTGCCTGGACTGTACTGAAAGAAGCAGGGAGGGCCTCCCTCCAACTCTCAGCCATGCAAAAAATATCCACACTTCCACATTTCAGCTCAAAAGCAGCAGGGAAATGAGCAGACCCCTCAGTGTGAAGCTCAGACCCCGAGACACAATGTAGACTGGGTCAGTGCCACTTCTGGGAGGCCCCAGGCTGGCTCTTTCATACAGGTGTGTTGTGGAATAATCTTTTTCTACGCTGTGAAGATTGTTTTAATAAAAAGCTGAAGGCCAATAGCTAGGCAAGATTTGGGGGGCAAGGTCAATGCTGGGAAGAAGAAGAAGGGCAGAGATGCAGAGAGTCACCAGCTAGGTAGGAAGTAGGAAAGCATCCTAGGCTGTACAGAGTAGAGGTAATAAAGCCACGAGGCTGAAAGCAAATGAATAGAAATGGGTTAATTTAAGCTATTATTAACTAGAGCTAGCTAGAAACAAGCCTAAGCGATCGGTCAAGCTTTGTAATTAATAAGAAGTCTGCGTATTGTGATTTGGGAGCTGGCAGGCGAGACGGAGAAAGTCTGTCTACACATGTACACTAAGCGGACACTCGGGATTGACTATAGAGGCACACAACTCTAGGCCACTAATGACAGGGCTGGGAGGGCTTAAGTGGACCTGTAAGCTTCACTTGCACAAGGACACATAATTTCCTGGAATGTTGAGGGTGGCTGTTCACTTAAAATAACAAGTCACATGTTTTTACTTCAGTAAACAAGGTTGGTTGCCCCAATGCACAGGATGTGCTGATCACAGTTAGGCCAAGAGGTACATCAGGATGTATGCTTGCCCAGACTAAACAAAGGTGGGAAGTACTGAAGCCTTGTGGATTTTGCCTTTATGAGCATCTGACTAACCTAATTCAGCAACATTCTCTGGGAATCCCAGGTGTGGACCTGGCCAATGTCCATCTTCCTGGCCAGTATTTAATAAAGCTTGCTTTAACTAGACAACTGTGGATTTGGTCAAGACCTCTCAATTCCTTAATGTACAATTTTATACACATTATAAATTTGCTAACAAGGTGTTTATATCTTTTCTCAGATTCTCAAACACACAGATCTCTAATTCAAAGAAATTTAAGGACAGCTATCTCTTTCTAGCTTCCAACAGTCTCTAGCCATTACTTCCGGGAACCTCCTGCATCTGCAGCAGGAGTCCTAAAGCACAGCCAGCGAGACAGACACAGTCAGCCAGAGAGACCTACCATCAAGGCTGCTCACCTCTTAGAAACGTGTGTCTCCATGCACACACAACCCAGGGCAGCACCACAGCCACTGCCTGCGCTAGGACCGATGCGTCTCCCTTTGGCCCATAGCTAACTTCCGAAAGGTTGAAATCTTGGGTCAGTACTTACCAAGTAAGGCCACTGATTTGGAGGAAATATTGGCTTCAGGGAGCTTTTGAAGGCTGTTAAGTCTAAGGCATTTCACACTTGTCTGTGTGTAATGTTTTGATTTCACTAGCTCAGTTTCCAGGCTTACTGTGAATGTGTGGAACCAGGCACAGCTTCATTGTGGGAGCTGTCTTGGGCATGGTGGGACATTTGGAAGTGTCTTGGTCTCTACTCAATGGATTCCAATAACACTCCCCTTCAAGTCAGAGCAAAACATCTCTAGGCACTGCCCAGGCTCTGAAGCAACAGGCATGTGGTCAGCATAGTTTCACAGTCCAACCATGTCTCCTCGTGCTGAGTGTCTGCTCATGTCCTCTGCAGTTATGCAGTCACAACAATGTAACAGTCATGTGATACATGACGATGTTTTGGCTCATAAAAAACCACATAGGACAAGTGAGATTGTAGCCATCTCAGTGCAAGGCCACCCCAGTTTCACACAGAGCCAATGCCTACTGATGCAGTGCCCAGCACCTACCCCACCTACTGATGCAGTGCCCAGCACCTCCCCTGCTACTGATGCAGTGCCCAGCACCTACCCCGCCTACTGATGCAGTACCCAGCACCTACCCTGCCTACTGATGCAGGGCCCAGCACCTACCCCACCTACTGATGCAGTGCTCAGCCCCTACCCTGCCTACTGATGCAGTGCTCAGCACCTACCCTGCATAGTGATGCAGTGCTCAGCCCCTATCCTGCCTACTGATACAGTGCTCGGCCTCTACCCTGCCTACTGATGCAGTGCTCAGCCCCTATCCTGCCTACTGATACAGTGCTCAGCCTCTACCCTACCTACTGATGCAGTGCTCAGCACGCATCCTGCCTAGCGATGCAGGGTAGTGATCCTACCCTGTTATTAAGCAACACATTAATGTGCTCCAGACATCATGCTTTTTGCAGGTTTGGGTTTTGAAGTAATCAGGAAATCAGGTAAGTCACTGGTATTTCAAAAGAACATGGGTATTCTATGAGGCTGATATGTGTGAGACAACTATTTATTCTCAGCTGCTAGGGACTACACACCCAGTTTAACTCTTAGGAAGCAATTAGGAAGTACTGTGTAGTGACCCCAGCACTTGGGTGAGAGATCATGAGTTCCAGGCCAGTCTGAGCTATACAAATTTGAGGCTAGCCTGGGTTACACAGGAAGACCCATTTCAAAATAAAACAAGAAAGAATGCAAGGAATTTGGCAGTGTACATCTAGTGACAAGCTAAATCTATGCTGAGTGTCTTGTGGAAAGAAAAAATCCCAAATATCTTTTAAATGATGAAACACTTTGAAGCTATATGAATTTCGTATGTATAAGGCAAGTAGGTGAAAAAATATTAGTGTGGTGTCTGAGGTCATGCATATGACTTGAGCATGGGCTGAGAAGTCACTGCAGGTGAAAGGTCAACTGGAGTTACTGATGCTTGTGAGCTGCCATGTGGGTGCTGGGAACTGAACCCAGGTTCTCTGGTAGAGCAGCCAGTGCTCCTAACCACTGAGCCACCTCTCCAGTTCCACACCATCATGATGTTTTGTAAGTGTTCATATTACCAAGGTAAGTGGTACGACTGTGCTTTATATTATTAAGTTTATGACACATAAATGTTATGGTACTGTGACAATTCATTTCCTGCTGAGCACGGCTTGTGTGCGTGTGTGTACACATACACACCCAAGTGCAGATGCGTGCATGTACACAAACACACCTTCCTTCCTTACTCTGCATAATGAACTCTGCTGGCTGATACTTACCAAATAGAATGCTGTTTTATAAAGGACATGCATCCCAGGGGTCATGAGTCCCTTCTCACATGCTACATATGACAAAGAACCAGCTCTGTGACAGGCAGAGTGAGCAGGCTGGACTCTGTCCTTGGCCTTTGATGCCCAGAACCCAGACCCTCCTCCCCAGAGGGTGGGGCTTATCCAGAGCCATACTCACAGGTCATAGGAGAACTTCTTCTCCAGGCTAGTCTGGTTCTTCTGGAACTGGAAGATGTCCTGCTGCAGCCTGCCGTAACTCCTTTGCAGAGCCTTCAACTGGTCTAAGCCAAAAGGACAAATCACTTCACTGGTCTCTGTGTGGCTGTCGTAACACTCAGACACACAGGACACAACAGAACCACACTCAGCACAACCAGTGCAGAAGGAAGCAGGAAGGAAGCGAGCAGCCCCTCCCCCGCCATCACAGCACCTACCACCAAACTCTCCCACTGAAACCTGCACCGTCATCCTATTCAAAATGTCTATTAAAACTTTTAATTATTAGATTTTATTTATTTCTGTGTGCACCACTGCACATGTGTGGAGGTCGAAGGTCAACTTGTGGGTGTCAGTTCTCTCCTGGCACTATGTGGGTCGTGGGATCGAACTCAGATCATCAGGCTTGGCCGCAGGCGCCTTTCCTGCTGCGCCATCTCGCCAGCCCTCGCTGTGCTTTATATACACAGCTTGACGATAACTTTACACGAAGTTTTCAATAATTTCCTGCATTCTGGCTGAGGTCAGATGTGGGATTTTCCACGTTGGTGCTCAGAGTCTTAGATTAAGAATGCTCGGAACATTCTGCCTGAGGCCAACCCAGGGCCCAGCTGCCAATCCTGCGAAACTCAACAACTTGGAGGTGATGGTGAGATTGCCCTACTAAACAACCTGCTCAGCTGAGATCCATTCGGGAGAGGATTCAGAATCCTACAGTCTGCAGTCTGAGGAAAGAAGATCAGCTGAGGAGTTGACAAACGAGCAAAATGTGACCTGAGAACACAAAAGAAGGCGGCGCCCAGCCACCGAACCAGATCACCAGAATCATAAGCCTACTCTACACTGACTGGGAACAGGTAAGTCCCCACCTCCAGACCGGCATATCAGGTCTCTAGCCCCTAGGCCCCACCCAGGGACCAGACAGCTACCTTTCCCTGCTCCCCCACCAAAACAAACAAACAAAAAAAAACAAAAAAAAAAAAAACAAAACAACAACCTCTATGAACCTAACAACCACCGGAACCATAAGCACACCCTGCAACAATTAGGAACAACTGCTCCCTGAGACAGAACCCACTAACACAGATTGGACTAAGCTGCTCCCGAAGAAACAGAGCCCAACAGCACCGATTTAACCAAGAACTCCTAGTGGACCAAGACTAACAATCAGAACAAGAGAAGCACCATCAGACACAGACACCGCCTGCACCGAGTGGAGGAAGAGATGAGTAGATGCCAGTGCAAAAATACAGGCAACAACATAAAGACCCATATGACAACATCAGAACCTAGTGATTCCACACCAGCAAGACCTGAACATACCAAGGCAGAAGAAGCAGAAGAAATCAATCCTAAAAATGACTTTAAGAAGATGATAGAGACCCTTAAAGAGGAAATGAAAAACTCCGTTAAAGAGGAAATAAAAAATTCCCTTAAAGAAATGGAAGAAAACACAAACAAAAAATTGGAAGAAATCAAAGAAAGGCAAAAAAAAAAAAAAGTAATTAAACAGACGAAGGAAACAGTTCAAGATTTGAAAACTGAAATTGATGAGACAATAAAGAAGACACAAACTGAGGGAATGCTGGAAATAAAAATCCTGACTAAATGAACAGGAACTACAGAAGCAAGCATAACCAACTGAACTCAAGAGATGGAACAGAGAATCTTTGACACTGAAGACACAATAGAGAAAATAGATTCGTCAGTCAAAGAAAACACTAAAGACAAAAAAGTTGTAACAAAAAACGTCCAAGAAATTTGGGACACCATGAAAAGACCAAACCTAAGAATAATAGGGATAGAAGAAGGAGAAGAATACCAACTCAAAGGCACAGAAAATATACTCAACAAAATCATAGAAGGAAACTTTCCTAACCTAAAGAAAGAAATACTTATGAAGACACAAGAAGCTTACAGAACACCGAATAGGCTGGATCCAAAAAAAAGTCCCCTTGCCACATAATAATCAAAACACTAAACATACAGAGCAAAGAAAAACTATTAAGAGCTGTAAAGGAAATAGACCAAGTAACATATAAAGGCAAACCCATCAGAATAACACCAGACTTCTCAATAGAGACTATGAGAGCTAAAAGGTCCTGGACAAATGTTATGCAGACACTAAGAGACCACGGATGCCAACCCAGACTATTATACCCAGCAAAACTCTCAATCACCATAGACGGAGTAAACAAAATATTCCATGATAAAACCAGATTTAAACAATACCTATCCACAAATCCACCTCTACAGAAAGCACTAGAAGGAAAAATCCAACCTAAAGAAGCTAAACACACCCACGAAAACTCATGCAATAGATAATCCCACACCAACAAATACCAAAGAAGGAAAACGCAACACTACCACAAAAAAATAACAGGAATTAACAATCACAGGTCATTAATATCCATCAATATCAATGGTCTCAACTCACCTATAAAAAGACACAGAATAACAGAATGGATAAGAAAACAGGATCCATCCATCTGCTGCATACAAGAAACACACCTTAACTTCAAAGACAGACACTACCTCAGAGTAAAGGGCTGGGAAAAGGCTTTCTAATCAAATGGACCTAAGAAGCAAGCTGGTGTAGCTATCCTAATACCTAATAAAATAGACTTCAAACTAAAATCAATTGAAAGAGATCAGGATGGACATTACATATTTATCACAGGAGAAATCCACCAAGATGAAGTCTCGATTCTGAACGTTTATGCCCCAAATACAAAGGCACCCACATTCATAAAAGAAACATTACTAAAGCTCAAATAGCACATCAAACCCCACACATTAGTAGTGGGAGATTTCAACACACCACTCTCACCAAAAGACAGATCTTCCAGACTAACCTCCTGTATCTTATCGGACCACCATGCCTTAAAGTTAGATTTCAACAACAACAAAAATTATAGAAAGCCTACAATCTCATGGAAACTGAATAATGCCCACCTGAAACACCAATGGGTCAAGGAAGAAATAAAGAAAGAAATTAAAGATTTCCTAGAATTCAATGAAAATGAAAGTATAACATACCCAAACATACGGGACACTATGAAAGCAGTGCTAAGAGGAAAATTCATAGCTCTAAATGTACACATAAAGAAGATGGAGAAATCTCATAACAATGAATTAATAGCACAACTGAAAGTTCTAGAACAAAAAGAGACAAACTCACCCAGGAGAAACAGACACCAGGAAATAATCAAATTGAGGGCTGAAATCAATGAAATAGAAACCAAGAGAACAATACAAATAATCAATGAAACAAAAAGTTGGTTCTTTGAAAAAAATCAACAAGATAGACAAACCCCTAGCCAAATTAACCAAAAGGCCAAGAGAGAGAGCACCCAAATTAACAAAATCAGAAATGAAAAGGGAGACATAACAACAGACAATGAGGAAATCCAGAGAATCATCAGGTCACACTTCAAAAACCTGTACTCCACAAAATTGGAAAATCTGGAAGAAATGAGTAATTTTCTGGATAGATACCACATACCAGAGTTAAATCAAGACCAGATAAACTATTTAAATAGACCAATAACCCCAAAGGAAATAGAACCGGTTATTAAAAATAGTCTCCCAAGCAAAAAAAGCCCAGGACCAGATGGATTCAGTGCAGAATTCTACCAGATTTCAATGAAGAATTAATTCCAATACTCTTCAAATTATTCCACACAATAGAAACAGAAGGAACATTACCAAACTCTTTTTATGAGGCTACAATTACCCTGATACCCAAACCACACAAAGATGCAACAAAGAAAGAGAATTACAGACCAATCTCCCTCATGAACATTGATGCAAAAATATTCAACAAAATATTGGCAAACCGAATCCAAGAACGAATCAAAAAAAATATCCACCATGACCAAGTAGGCTTCATCCCAGGGATGCAAGGATAGTTCAACATATGAAAATCTGTCAATGTAATACACCATATAAACAAACTGAAAGAAAAAAACCACATGATCATCTCATTAGATGCTGAAAAAGCCTTTGACAAAATCCAACACCCTTCATGATAAAAGTCTTAGAGAGATCAGGAATACAAGGAACATTCCTAAACATAATTAAGGCAATTTACAGCAAGCCAACAGCCACCATCAAATTAAATGGAGAGAAACTCAAAGAGATTCCACTAAAATCAGGAACAAGACAAGGCTGTCCACTCTCCCCATATTTATTCAGTATAGTACTTGAAGTTCTAGCTAGAGCAATAAGACAACAAAAGGAGATCAAAGGGATACAAATTGGAAAGGAAGAAGTGAAACTTTCGCTATTTGCAGATGATATGATAGTATACATAAGTGACCCAAAAAATTCTACCAGGGAACTCCTACAGCTGATAAATTCCTTCAGTAAAGTGGCAGGATACAAGATCAACTCAAAAAAATCAGTAGCCCTCCTATACACAAATGATAAAAGGGCTGAGAAAGAAGTCAGAGAAACATCACCCTTTACAATACCCACAAATAATATAAAATACCTTGGGATAACACTAACTAAACAAGTGAAGGACCTGTTTTATAAGAACTTTAAATCTCTAAAGAAAGAAATTGAAGAAGATATCAGAAAATGAAAGGATCTCCCATGCTCATGAATAGGTAGGATTAACATAGTAAAAATGGCAATCTTACCAAAAGCAATCTACAGATTCGATGCAATCCCCATCAAAATTCCAATACAATTCTTCACAGACTTGGAAAGAAAAATACTCAGCTTCATATGGAAAAACAAAAGACCCAGGATAGCTAAAAGAATCCTGTATAATAAAGCAACCTCTGGAGGTATCACCATCCCTGACCTCAAGCTCTACTATAGAGCTACAGTAATAAAAACAGCTTGGTACTGGTATAAAAACTGACATACAGACCAATGGAATTGAATTGAAGACCCTGACATTAATCCACACACATATGAACACCTGATTTTTGACAAAGAAGCCAAAACTATACAATGGAAAAAAGAAAGTATCTTCAACAAATGGTGCTGGCATAACTGAATGTTAATATGTAAAAGATTGCAAATAGATCCATATCTGTCACCATGCACAAAACTCAAGTCCAAGTGGATCAAAGACTTCAATATAAATCCAATTACACTAAACTTCATAGAAGAGAAAGTAGGAAGTACTCTTGAACGCATTGGCACAGGAGATCACTTCCTAGATATAACACCAGCAGTACAGACACTGAGAGCAACAATTAATAAATGGGACCTCTTGAAACTGAGAAGCTTTTGTAGGGCAAAAGACACGGTCAATAAGACAAAAAGACAGCCAACAGAATGGGAAAAGACCTTCACCAACCCCACATCTGACAGAGGACTGATCTCCAAAGTATATAAAGAACTCAAGAAACTAGACATCAAAATACCGAACAATCCAATTTAAAAATGGGCTAAAGAGCTAAACAGAGAATTCTCAAAAGAAGAATCACAAGTGGCTGAAAGACATTTAAAGAAATGCTCAACATCCTTAATCAGAGAAATGCAAATCAAAACGACGCTGAGATACCACCTTACACCTGTCAGAATGGCTATGATCAAAAACACTAATGACAGTCTATGTTGGAGAGGATGAGAAGCAAAGGGAACACTCCTCCACTGTTGGTAGGGATGCAAACTTGTACAACCACTGTGAAAATCATTAGGGTAGTTTCTCAGAAAATTGGAAATCGATCTACCTCAAGACCCAGCCATACCACTCTTGGGCATATCCCCAAGGAATGCTCAATCATACCACAAGGATACATGCTCAACTATGTTCATAGCAGCATTATTCGTAATAGCCAGAACCTGGAAACAACCTAGATGCCCATCAACTGAAGAATGGATTAAGAAAATGTGGTACATATACACAATGGAGTACTACTCAGCAGAGAAAAACAATGACAGCATGAAATTTGCAGGCAAATGAATGGAACTAGAAAATATCATCCTGAGTGAGGTAACCTAGACTCAGAAGGACAAACATGGTATGTACTCAGTCATAAGTGGATTCTAGATATAAAGCAAAGGACAATCAGACTGCACCCACAGAACCAGGGAGGCTACCTAGCAGGGGGGACCCTAGGATGACTGTGGCTTATAATAAGTTTTGCTTTTACTCAATTACTGGGCAAGCCTCAATGAAACATTTCACTATTAGGATAAGAATTTATACTGTATCAAGCTGATAATAGAAAAATAAATAAGTAAATAAAAATGAAAAAAAAAAGAAATGAAAGAAGGAAAAAAAATGCTCATCCAGCTGGGCAATGGTGGCGCACGCCTTTAACCCCAGCACTCGGGAGGCAGAAGCAGATGGATCTCTGTGGGTTGAAGGCCAGCCTGGTCTACAGAGCGAGCGAGATCCAGGACAGGCACCAAAACTACACAGAGAAACCCTGTCTCGGGGGGGAAAAAAAAAGAATGCTCATCCAATTTCATTACTTATTTGGTGGTGGGATTGAACCTAAGGTCCTGCAAACACTAGGCAAGTGCCCCATACTCAGCACGCCCCTCCTAGTATTTCTTAAAGATTCATAAATCAAAGGGCTGAATTATGTCCATCATAACTCGCAATGTCACAGTAATGTTTTATAAGGACAGGTAAGTAAGAATACATTAAGGATGGCTCAATTACTCCTAATACAGGATTAGAGTGACAGAGCCACCTGAGGCCATTGTGAGGCGTCGGGCCAGAGCCAGGCTGGCTTTTCCTTGAGGCAGCTGCTGGGCTAACGGGAGGGGGCTTACCTTGCAGGTCTCTGATGAGCTTTTCGCCTGTGGTGATGTTACTCACTAAAACCGCCTGCAAGGAAGACAAAAATGGAATCAGACAGCTTACCTGTGCAACTCAGCCTTCAGAGCAGGTGTCAAAGGAAGAAGGCAGCACCCAGCCAGCAGCAGCCCAGCCAGCCATCAGGGAGCAATGCTCTGCTCCACGGCACGTCCATCCACAGTGAAGGGGTATACCTGCTTACACATCTGCTTTCCAGCCACCCCAGGAGTAATCAAATGGATGCCCCAATTCCAGTTCCCAGACACCCTTCCCTGCCAGCGTAGCTTCTTCCTCTCCCTGCCTGCAGACTCCCAGCAGCTCCTGGCCCTGACGTGATGTGGTAGGAAGGAGGCAACTATGGTTGATATACTGTGGACCCTAATAAACTTATCTGGAGTCAGAGACCAGAACAGCCACTAGACAGAAGTAGAGGCCAGAAAATGGTGGCGCACACCTTTAATCCTATCACTTGGGAGACAGAGATCCATCCGGATCTCTGTGAGTTCAAGGCCACACTGGAAACAGCCAGGCATGGGGACTCATGCCTTTAATCCCAGGAAGTGATGGCAGGAAGCAAAAAGGTATATAAGGCATGAGGACCAGGAACTAGAGGCTTTTTAAGCTTTTAGGCTTTTAGCAGCAGTTCAGCAGAGATCCATTCCAGTGAGGACTCAGAGGCTTCCAGTCTGAGGAAACAGGATTGGCTGAGGAGTTGGCCAGGTGAGGTTGGCTGTGGCTTGTTTTGTCTCTCTGATCTCTCAGCTATCACCCCAATGTCTGCCTCTGGATTTTTTATGAATAAGACCGTCTTTAAAATTCGTGTTACAGGCAACAGGGAACCCTGACACAATAAGGAGGTGGGAGAGATGTAATGCTGAGTGAGAAGTCAACCACCTGGTCAGCACATGCAGGACTCTGGGTCAGACAATGTTGTCTACACCTCATGTGCAGTTACTAACTGGCCCTTTGTAAGAGCTGCAGGAGCTGGATTACAGCTGTCATCCCAAGGCCAGAGTCGGGCACATAGGCCTAGACACAGTTTGTTCAAGTGGCTCACTATCAAAAATGCTGAAGAGACCTACAAATGCTAGACACACTCCAGAGAGCAAGCTCTTAGCAGCTGCCCTGCTAGAGGAACCTGAGCCCTGCACCTAGGAACCTGAGCAAGACAAGTTTCATGGACTGCACCCAGGATACTTAATTGTAGGCGGTAGCTTGACAGGAGTAAGGAGACCCTAAGACACACTAATGTGTTTCTGAATGTTTATTCTGTTTATTCTGTAAACTGGCAAGAGCCGTGTCCTGAGAGAGTAAGATCTGTCTCAGAATGGGTGGACATCATCCAGTGCGTTGGTGCTGGGGAGAACAGGACAGGACAAAGAAGGAGTTCCACTGGCCCCCTTGGATATGAGACATGGGGCATGCTCCTGAGTCACAGCTGTGAGCAGAGCTCCAGACTCTCTGGTCTCAGAACTCCAGCCAGGGCTGCCGATAGCAGCTGTCATCCCTGGCTCTAGGGCTGTCAGACATGGGAGTGAACTACTCTCCCAGTATCCCGTTTCCCAGGATCTGCAGTCCCAGCCTCCACAATCCCATGAGGCGATTCCCCTGACAAGTCCTCTCACATGTAATCGTCAGTCTCCATAGAGAACCCAATGCTAAAAACAAGTAGACACATGAGAGAGGGGAGAGAAACACTAAACACTAGAACACATCACACAGGATGAGTGTGCAGCACACAGGCAAGGGCCACGTACACACACAGGATGAGTGTGGTGGCAACATGAACGTTTCTTACTATATCATCTCCAACAAACTAATACTCCACTTATCAACATGCTGAAAACAGGCATTTTTCATCCATTCTTGATGCCAAATTTGCCAGTGCCTCCCTCCACCCCCTCTCGTGTCCTCCGGAACCTCCTCTAACATCACCTTTACATCTCCTGAGCCCAGTCAGAGGAAAGGTCACAAGAGGCCCAGACTCCTGAGCAACATTCAGGACACGGGGATGTGTGCCGGGAGATGAACACAGGGATGGATGTGTGCCGGGAGATGAAATCCAGCCAAGCCCTGTGTTTGCTTTGGGAGTAATGTGAGCAATGGTAGAGAAGTCCCCAGAATGGTATTGGTAAAATTCCTCTACCTGGGATTGTTTCTTTTACACAGGATGGAGGGTGGAGAATGAGGACCCACTCTAGGAACAGGACTTCCCCAGCTCAAAATTCCTGCTGCTCTGGACAAAAGAGCAAGCATCTGGTAAACTGCACCAATGAATCCGTCCCAGATCCCACAATCGCTCTCTGAATATACATGCAAAAGAATTCAGAAAGGATCCGCAGGCCTTACCTGCCCACCCACATTCACTGCAGCGAGTCTCACGGCCAAAAGGTGATCCCAGAACCCATGAGAACAGACAGAAATGTGGTACACTGCACAGCCTTTAGAAGGACACACCAACACATGTGCAACATGGATGAACCCCTAAGATTTGGGGCTAGTGAAAGAACACGCCAGTCACAAAAGGAAATGTTTTCGTTTTTGTTTTTTCGAGACAGGGTTTCTCTATGTAGCCCTGGCTGTCCTAGAACTCACTCTGTAGTCCAGGCTGGTCTCGCACTCACAGAGATCCACCTGCCTCTGCCCCCTGAGTGCTGGGGTTAAAGGGGTGTGCCACCACCCAGCTATAAAAGGAAAATGTTGACTGGACTCCACTCACATGAGAAACCTCATGTAGTAAAACCCCAGGACAGCCAAGGAAGGCAGTCTCCATCACCGAGGGGACAGCCCAGGAAGGCAGTCTCCATCACCGAGGGGACAGCTCAGAAAGGCAGTCTCCATCACCGAGGGGACAGCCCAGGAAGGCAGTCTCCATCGCTGAGGGGACAGCCCAGGAAGGCAGTCTCCATTGCTGAGGGGACAGCCCAGGAAGGCAGTCTCCATCACCGAGGGGACAGCCCAGGAAGGCAGTCTCCTCTGCTGAGGGGACAGCCCAGGAAGGCAGTCTCCTCTGCTGAGGGGACAGCCCAGGAAGGCAGTCTCCTCTGCTGAGGGGACAGCCCAGGAAGGCAGTCTCCATCACCGAGGGGACAGCCCAGGAAGGCAGTCTCCATTACCGAGGGGACAGCCCAGGAAGGCAGTCTCCATCGCTGAGAGGGTAGGGAGGATGGGTGTGCAGCAAATGCAGTCTCTGTGACACAGGTCCCTCACTGAGTTCACCCTTAGCTGCCACCTTGCCTCTGAAGATCTGGAAACTGCTGTAGTCAGAAGCTTCCAAAGGCATTTCTGCTTCCTCACAGCTTTTATCCTGCCAAAGAAAATGTCTTCTCACCTTCCTTCCTTACTTATGAACGAAAGACCATGGCCTCCTAAGAAGATGAAAATGGAGCCATAAAATATGTCCAAGGTTTCTGTATATAATTTTAAACTTATAGAAAGGGGCTGGAGAGATGGCTCAAAAGGTAAAGAGCACTGGCTGCTCTCCCAGAGGACCAGGGTTCGATTCCCAGCACCCACAGGGCAGCTCACACCTGTCTGCAACTCCAAGATCTGACACCCTCACACAGACAGGCACAACACCAATGCACAGAAAATAAAAATGAATAAATTATTTAAAAAACATTTATTATTTAAAAAAAAGAAAGAAAGAAAAGAAAATGCTGAATTGTTTTCAAGAAGATTGAAAATGCTTCCTAAACCGAGCAGCACTAATCCCAGCACTCGGGAGGCAGAGCCAGGAGGATCTCTGTGAGTTCTAGGCCAGCCTGAGCTACAGAGTGAGATCCAAGATAGGTACCAAAGATACACAGAGAAATCTTGTCTGGGGGGTGGGGGGGTGAAAATGCTTCCTAGCTTGTTTGTTTGGGGAGAGTGTATTTATAAGGAAGAGAAAAACTGCATTCAACACTTTTTAAAATTCTTTCTTTATACATTGTACTAGTATCATGGAACCGTAGGAATGGTGGGCATTTGTGTGACGTTCATACAACCACATAATGTACTTTGGCTATATTTGTCCTGCAATTATTTTTAAATAACATAATACACTCAGCTCTGAACAATTAATTCTTCCTCGTATTTTGGTTCTGAGTGATTCTGGGGTATCCTCTGTGCAGTGTCACCAGAATTAACTAGAAACTAAACTGTTAGTTATCGCACATACAAATTTATCCCAGCCATGCTGGTCTGGAAACAAATTGTTTTTGATTTGATTCTTGGAACACTAGCTCAGTGTTTCATAGCAAGTTCTCAAACAGGAACAAGATGGAGGGCTTTGAAGCATGAGGCTCAGAGAAGGAGGACAGATAAAAAGGACACTGTACAGATCTAGAGTGAGCAAGACACAGACGCATAAAGTTGACGAGAGACTTCAGGGCTGGAGAGAGAAATAAGTGAACAGCAACGGTGACAGCACTGTCGGATACATTAAAATTTATCTACTTTATAGGTGTTTTGCCTGCACACAAATATGTGCACATAGTGCTCAGAGAGGTCAGAAGAGGGTACGGATCCCTGGAACTGGAGTTACGGACAGTTGTGAGCAGATGTGTGGGTGCTAGGAACCGAACCCATGTCCTCTGTAAGAGCAGCCAGTGCTCTTAACCGTTCCAAACTGCTGAGTGGTCTCTCACCCAGACATTTTAAGAGTTCAACAAATGCTTGTGCCAGGGACAGCACAGAGCCTGAGGGAGGAAGAGCAGGAAGCTGAGCAGCAAGCAGTAGACACTCTCAGTGACCACATCCTGCTGAAACTTATACTCACCCCCAAACATTCTGCCTCAATCACAGCCCCCTAAACACTGAATGCGTGTTCCCACAGAAACAGAACACTGTGGTGGGACAGCGGTCAGTGCTGACAATGTCGGTGATTAAGCCAATTCACAGAAGGTGAGCAGTGGCTGGAGAGTTTGCACAGAGGAATTGCTAGGTGACTATGCCTGTAAAGATTGCTGTTACCTGTCACTTAAGGAAGAGGATGCAGTCTGAGCACCCTTGGGAGATTTCACTGGGTGTCAACATCTTAAACAGGT